TTGAAAAGTGTGCATAAATTTCGATTTAAATTTTAATTTTTTTTTTCGTCCAGGTTTGGTTTTGTGTGTATTTTTACGAAATTTCGAAGGCAAGGAACCATGCAGTGAGGTAAGAAAATGGATATTTATGTATTTAGAAAGGACACGCTTGAATAAAAATGGATTCTCACTCATTTGCACTTTGATTGCATCGATTACTCATCTTACGTGATAATTATCGTTTGTACAACACGCAATTCTTTAATTTCCTTCTTTGTCAATGGAGAAAAATTAAACGAAAATAATAGAAATAGGACAAGAAAACGAATATTTTGTAGAGGACCGAATAAAGATTTGGGTGACGTCCCACAACGCGTGCGAAATTCTTTAACAATATTTAACTTTATATAAGCGAATATAACAGTATAGGCGAATGCTAGAGTAACATTTTCCTAACAATTTCATACTACAGGAAAAACAATTATAATTTTTGCGTAGAAGAATATTCCCACATTACCTCCGAAACTTCAGATTTAACTCATGAGAACATAAACGATCGAATGGAAAATTTATCTGCAGATTAGTTTCGGATCAAGATTTGATCCTAGTGTTTAAATTTCGATAAGATTGGTTTACAGTGAAGCATTAAGGATGATTGAAAGCCTTAAGAGGTTGGTGAAATAATGAGATTCTTCTGAAAGATTGCCATAAAGATTTAAAAATTCCGTAAAGCAGGACATCTTTCTTGCTTTTTTATGAACTGTTGATAACCCTTTAAGTGAGAAAAAAACCCGCTTTTCTTGAAGAGTAAACATTCATTCAGAAAGTTTAGTTTAGTTTAAACCAGCATAAAAAACAAGCTATCTTTTTTTTCGTATGTACTAAAATGTGGAATTCTTTCAGAAAGTTCACTCTTGAACTTTTAAGTAACAATTTCCGCATACAAATTACCTATAGGCAGATAATGGCGGTCGACCTACCAAATTTCTTGATAAGATTCGATAAAGTTACTTCATGAGTCATTCAGAGCGACGACATGTTTTATTATGGTTCTTATCTCGAGCTAACGTAATTTAAGATCGGTGTCGGTTTCTAAGGTTAGCTTATCCAGCATCTCAGGTGATAAAGGTAGACGTATTAAGCATAAGTAGCATCCTGTCGGGCAGGTGTGCCTTTTGTTTCCATCCTACGTCTCAACGGGTAACTAACTAAATTAACAAAAATCTAAAGAATTTAATTACTTATTTGTATAATTTATAAGTGTTTTATAGAGTATTAAACAATTAAAATTACTTAAAACAGCGTTAATAATTAAAATTTTAATTTAGTTAAGTAAATTGATCAATATCAGCTGGAGGATAAATTTATTTAATGTTGCATGTGTTAAACCAATCAATTTCAAGTGTTGATTGTTATTCAAATAATCTATTTTAATATTTACTATTGAAATAGATTATCTTAGCAATGATTAAAAGTGAAAGTGACGTTTAACAGCAACAATGGAAGTGAAAACGATTAAATCATTCTTTTTCTCTTAGAGAAAGTGCAAAAGATTAATTCCAATTTTATCACTTTTATATTATCTCAAGCGTAAAAATAATTAATTTAATCGAAAAAAATCTAAGAAATTTTAACTTTATAATTTCAAATAATTATTAAAAGTAAAGAAAAATTGATATAAAGTTATTCTATTTTATTTATTTTTCAAGTTATAAGCTTACTTTACGGGGAAAATTACATAAAAGTTTTCCTGTTTTCAAGCTATTTTATTTAAATTTTCAGATCAGGTTTTACTTAAATTTATCTTTTTATAAATAAGATTTATTTTAGTTTGAAGAAAACGTCACAATCGGCTTGTTTCGTTGTCTATTTATGTTCTTTCAATACGTGTCAATATTCTGAAACGGCACACTACGAGAACAATAGCAAACACTCGACAAGCTTTGACAGTGACGACAATTTACAATGTGTTGGTTTGTTTTTTCTTTAGGTAAAAAACTCGGTAACTCGCTTTATGTTGAAATTTGCATTATACTTACCATAAAACTTATGTAATTCTACCTTTCGACAACATTTCCTACAGAATTTTTAAAGAATTATTAATAATTTTATAGCTTTATGCATATTTTATTATTATCGATTTTTCTATTTCATCCCAAGGACTATTTTGTTTTTCTTCATTTTGTTACCATAGTGATATTTTGCTCCAATTTATTCCCATTGATTTTTAACCGTAACCTGCAATTAAATAAGGCCTAGAGAAGTTTATCGGACACTAGCATACTTTTAAAATTTTATTTTAATAAAAAATATGAGGGTTAAAATATCGGAAAAATGGTTTAATTATTTTAATTAAAGAGTAAAAATAGTGTTTTGCTTAAATTTTTGTATTTCTAGTGCATAAATTTTACCGTAAACCTACCCAAAAATTCTTTCAAAAGTACACTTTCATGATGTCATTTAATTAATGATTTATTTATAATTTGTTTTTAAATTAAATTTTTTTTCGATTAAAATTTTAAATCATCTCTTGGTTTTTGTACTGTTTTAAATTCTTAAAATAAAATTAATTTTCAAAATAGCATTGTTTTTAATTGTAATTAACGGATTTACGTATGATAATTGTGTATTTTTCATATCAGCTGTTAATTTTTGTGTCGTTTTCATTTTAAAAATGAAATTGATAAAAAAACAGCTGCCGAGAAATTTACAAATTTAATTGCAATTAATGGATTAAATTCTATTGTTTAAATTAACAAAATAATTTATTACAATTAAATTTTAAAGAAAATTAAAAACAATACGTAGTATTAAACTTTAAAAAATTACAGATAAAATATAATTAATCGTCCAATTAAATAAATTCAATTCTCACATAAAAAAAGGCAAGAAATAGCCTGTATAATATCTTAAAGATATAAAATTTCAAACAATGCTATTTAAAAAATAAAAAAAACAAGCAAATTAATATATTTATCACGCATTAATCACCCTATCTGACTTTTTATAGTCAGTAGAAAATCTTTAGGAAAAAGTCGAGTGATGTCAATTTTGCACCTGTTCCTTCATTTTGATTTTTTGAATTTTGTATTTTGACCTTTCGGGACCCGGTTCAAATTATTAAATTATAAAAAAAATTTTTTCGAAATTCGGTCCGGAAGAAAAAATTGTTCGGGGGGATCGAGTTACTCTCTTTACGAGCTGGAGGACTTCGCATTGGTTTGCAACCGGATCAACGCTATTTAATCTGATTGAATGAATAGCAGGTTATGAAAAAATGCGCTTATTAAACTAATGAGTGAATTGTTTAGTGAAAGGTGACTGCAGAGGACATGGGAAATGCGCGAAATGGGATGATCAGTTTTCGTAAACACCATCGAGAATATGGTTCAGAAGTGAAATATCAATGTCACCTTGATGCTTTTTTTTATATCTCTTATAATTATGGTGTCAGATTTTGCAGAAATTAAGTGAAATTATTCGAATACCTACTCAAGCTTAGCTTACAGATACGCGTGAGTACCGTAAAAGTCGTCATTTCTGGTGTATTCTACACACGTTTCGACGTTACTAATTCTAGATACACGTTTCTTAATGGTAAATTCACATATATCTGGTTCCATTTTAGTGATAAAAACCCTTATTATCTTTTAGAAACAAATACTAGTAGTTGACGTAACTGTGGGCAAGTATCATAATAAAATTTTAATTTTGTATACATTAAATACCATTTATTTATTATTAATTTAAGGTATACTTTGTTCTGACTCAGTAACAAAATTTAGATAAATCTAATTCCTATTTCATGAGAAAAACTCTTATTATAGGCTATTGGATTATTAAGTACTAAAAGTTAAATCAGATGTAGGCGAATGTAATTAGAATTTTTGACTTAATAAATACCATTTTTATATAATTAATTCAAGATATACCTAGTTGCATTTCTTATCAGTAAATTCAGTTATAGCTGGTATAATATTCATGCAAATAATTCCTGATATATCGGTACTATTACATCATATTTAAGCATTTTTACGTCACTAATTGCGGCTAGCTTATATCTTTCTACAGGATTCTCAACAGCAATGTCAAATATTTTGATTTTCAGTTATGTAAATAGATAATAGACGGATATATCAATAATTATAACAGAAAATAGCAGGATATAACTGATTATGTTAGAAATAATCGGCTATAACTATGACTTTGGTCGAAATAGCATGATATAGCTATACTAGATACTTAGATATAAATAATTTCGAATTATTAATAAAGAATGCTATTTCGTTTCTTACAAGTAATCCGGATTTATTTTGTTTTTAGAAAAGAAAAATCTAGTAACCCATATCCAGTTAGCGTGGAGTAGCTACACGTTTATAATGTATAAATAGAAATTTCGGTTCTATATTTGTAATTGGAGCGTTTAAAAATACAAAATTCTTATTCTTTACTAAAATATTCTGCATATTCTTTTATAAACAGGCGCATAAAGTTATACCTGGTTCGAAAATTATGGCTTGTTACAGGATACAATCGATGCCTTCATCATAATTAAAAGTCTATCGATTTAATCTATCAAGTTAAACATATTTAATACCATAAAACGTATCTTTAAATATTCAAAAACTTGAAATAAATTAAATAAAACTAAGTAAAAGAACGTTATCATTCTAGATAAAGCCAAATTCATTCTAAGAATCCCGGATCTGATAAGCTAAGTTTTCAGAAAGTTATTAAAGTACTGAGAACAAGAAGAAATAACTAAAAATATTTATTTATAATACATTCTTCACTCTTTAAGACATCTAATACTACTAAAAACAATAAAAAAAGAAATTAATTTAAGAATTAAAACACGACCAAAAACTACTGTATTGTTCTTTACACGCGATATTAAATTTGTTAAACTCATTTTAGTACTTTTATTTATAATTTATCCTTTCAACACAGGTTTACTGTTTCTTATCAAACACGATATTGTTATTTTACGTCAGTAACTAGTATTATTAAATATTTAACAGGTTCACTCTTCATCACGTCAGATCTTTTACTGGAATAGTAAAGAAAATAGTAAGTATATATGTATAATGATAACAATAATAATATGTTTTATAAGAAGTTTGTGTGATATTTTTTTTTGTTGTTGATTTAATCACGAAATAGAGCGAAAACTAATTGAAAACTCTTACAGATTCAGGTAAATCAGAAACACTAGTGTTCCACTTGTTGAAGCCATTAAGTAGGTTGTTGGCAGCTCTCGACAAAAGAAACGTTTATGAATTACAACATTTCTGCGGGGGGGAAGGAGAGAAAGATACTCCTCTTTGTTTCCTCTTGTTAGTCGATTGCAAACGAGCTGTCAGGGCATCCCCCAAAAAACAGGATTACAGAATCGTTGAATGTTTTAACGTCTCTTCCGATATTATTAACCACTCCTTGATATTACCTGGTAAGTTTTTCCTTATATAGGTAACAGATAAATGTCATAAATCACTCCATTTTTTCTCATTGTTATTTATTTGCTTCTTTTTCCTTCAAAAATCGAGTAAACAAGGATTGAGGAAAAGCATTTAATGGATTCGTTTTTTGTGCCTTTTGAATCTAGAGGAAAATTTAATCTTAGAAATTAAAATCTTTGAAAAAAATGCCGTAAATAAAAAATAAGTGGTTTAAAAGTCTGAATGCTAGTTTAATGTAGGATATTATTAGCAGACGTCAGTGGAAAACGTATCTTTGATGCTATTGTAACGTTACTATCAATTTAAAATATCGTAAATTTTTATGTTATTGATGGAAATTAATCGTTTTTTAAACTACATTATTAAAATTAACAATATTTTAAACAGATTTAAACGTGTAAATTTAATTACACACGCTTAAAAAATTGTTCATTTCGGTGAAAATGGCATCAATTACATCAACAGCTGATTAAAATTGAAACGAACAAATTTGAGAATATTTTAATTACAATTAAAATTAATTCAATCACAATTAAGTATGAAAATTTAAATAGTAGCATAAAAAGTATTTTATCAGAAAATGTATTTCATGTTGAATTAACTCGATATCTTCAAAATAAATGTAATATTTTAGTTAAATTTAAGCAGAATTAAAGCCAAGTCCGGTGCCAAAACCTCTAAAGAATATTTACAAGTATCATTGAAACTGTTTTGTTCCTACTAGTTGTAATTGCCTGATAGTGATCAGTCGCTGATGTAGAGATACTGAACTGAAATAACATGAAGTAGAATTCGAGAATTATCAACGTAAATCGTCTAGACAGGTTATTCATCATTATTTACTAAGCATACGTCTCGAAAATGACATTTCTACAAACATTAAAAATCATAATTTTGATCTAACTGCGCATAAATTATATTTAACAGCAAAGTATCTTAAATTTTTTATTTTCGTTTCAGTCAAAATCTTGCAAAATGTCTACTCTGAAATGGATTTAGAATTTTTGAATGGAGAAGAATTTTACTCGTTAAAAAGTTCTTTCACGAAAGAAAGCACTCAGGAGGCTCACGTGAGAAGAAAACGTTCAACTAATCAAGTTCCTGTTCAGTTAACGTTTGATGCTGATTATAGCGCTAAAGCTTCCGGAAGAGAAGCAGAATTTAAAGATCACATCAAAAAAGAATTAGCAAAAGCTGTTCGAATTCCACTTTCTAGTATTAAAAATTTAAATTTGCGAAAAGGTAAATTCTTTAACTTTTAAATATTTACGGTATTTTTTTTTTATTTCTCCTGAGAAAATAAAATTAATGGTTAAAATAATTTATAAATTTCGAATTTATAATAGAAAGTCGATTAATTTCTTAAAATCATTGAAAAATGAATGTTATAAACGTTAATCTGATAAATTCGCAAGGTAAAAAATTTAAAAAGTTATTAAATACCCAAAATTTTGTTAATTTCAATAAACGCGTGCAAATATTTGTTCATTATAGCAAACGTATTTAATATTTTAATTACAATTAAGAAATGATTTTAATTATATTAGTAATTACCGTTTATTGAAATTAACAAATTTAACTGTAACTAAAATTTGTTCGATTACAATAAACGTGCTTAAAATTATTTTTAAAATTGTCAATTTCAGTACACGTGTTTAAAAATATGTTAATTTTAATAAACAGACTTAAAAANAAGGGGAAAAAAAAAAAAAAAAAAAAACGTAGCGATGATTGATGAGGATGTTAATTTGAAGATAATTTACATTTACTTAACTTGGTTGCTCTAGTTTTGAGAAGAGTATGCAATGGTTTAATGGGAATTTGTAAGAGTCTTAATCGGTGATTGAATTTAAAAGATAATTAGAAAAATTTCACGTAAACAATCCGTGACCTTGATAATGAATATCAATGGGAAGAATTTACGTTGCACACCTACACAGAAATAATTTATGATAATGCTTGTTGATACGGCCGATACTAATAGGCAGTAGCGCAGATACAATCCAAATTCGGCAAGGTCCATGATTTCTGTGGGTTGGTATCGTTACTTTTGATATAAATCTAAGTAACCAGAGAAGAATTCGGCTTCTTAACTACTGTTGAATCACAATAACACTTAGTGTTTTTGCATACCATGTTACTGCTAATTGTTACTAATATGTGCTTTGATGATTCTTTTTAACATCTGCTTCGAAAGTGCTCGTACTTAACATGCCTTATTTTAATTAAAAGCTACTTTAGATTGTCAAGATTAATGTCGACAGATTTAAAAAATTTCACAAACAGGATATGTTGTTATGATTTTATTTATCTTAACGCTAACCCGGGTTATTAATTGTTATTTTAAATATAATTAGTTTACGGATAGTTTGTTGTTGACAATGAATTTATACAAAAAGTAAATCGATATTGGCTAAACTTTCTTAAGTACAATTTTATTAAATGTAATTAAAATTTTGTTAATTACGATTAACGTGCTTTAAATTCACTTTTAAAAATCTTATCAATTTCAATACACGTGTTCAAAAATTTTTAATTTCTCTTAACGCGTCTAAAATAATGTCAGTTTTAACACGTGCAAAATTTTGTCAATTTCAATAATTACGTTTAGAATTTAATTACAATTAACGTACTTTAAATTTCTTTTTAAAAATGTTCTCGATTTCAATAATTACGTTTCGAATTTGATTAATTTTATTAAATATATTTAAGTTTTTATTAATTTCAACAAATACATTTAGAAATTTTGATGATTTACTTTAACGATATTTTAACCGCGGAAATGATTAATATTTTCTTTATATTCTGGATTAAATTTACTTTCCGTAGAGTTAGAAATAACATGATTAAATTTTCGGGAGAGTTTTAAATTAATTTTTTAATTAGTTTTCTTCTATTACAGATAAGATGTCTGTCGATTTTAATATTGTAATTACTAACGACGAGAACAATGTTATGGATGATAAGACTTTAGAAGATGCTGCTATCGATCTGAAAGGCAGAATCCACCGAGGGAGATTAAAAATCACAGATTTAGAATCGAATGTCATGAGTGTAATTGCTGATGAATCTGTGGTTGAAGTATCAACTACTTTAGGTGAGATTTAATTTAATTTTTAATACCTTATACGTGAAATATAAATTCTTATCTCATTATATATTCATTTAGATAGCCACTGATTTATTTTAGGAAGGCAAATATTTAAAAAAAGAACACTTTCAATAAATATTTTTTGCTACGTATTACGTGACAGACAGACACTTGGCTTTAGTTTTTAGTTTGATATAAAGTTTATTATTTCTATATTTTTGTAGGTACCGATTTAACTCCGATAGTTCTGGGCATCGTGGTGGGAATATTTATTTTAATATTTATCCTTGTTATTTTATCTGCCATGATCGTCCAGCATATAAACAAGAGTTGTAACAGATCAGTATCGCCTTATGTTAAGGTATGTTCTAGTTTTTAAAATAATAATAATATAAATATAATTTATTTTTTTATTTTAAAAATTAAAAAAAAATTTCCTCATTTATTATTCGGATTATAGCTTCACATTTCTTGTAAATATTTAAACAATTGTTTTATACTTTTTATTTTTTAAATTTTATTTTAAATATATAATTACATTTACAAAAAATTTAATGTTTTTATTTTATTTTTTAATTATTAATTGAAGGTTTAAAAAATCAGAAAAGTTCTAAAATTAAAAAGCTAAATGCCAAAAATCTAATCTAGATTATAGCCTATATAAATTATCATTAACTTTTTATAATGATTATCTCATGTTAAAAAGTAACGATAAGANTTTAATTATATATATATATATATATATAATATTAAAATACTTCTACACTATAAAACATAAAAAGTAGTAATTATTTCATATTTTTATTTAAGTCTTTTATATTTCAATCTTTATTCTTTTTTTTCTTTCTTGAAAATAATACAATAATAATTCTATTACAATATAAAAATATAACATAATTCTAAATAATAATAATAATTCGTTTTGTCATTTCTTTCACGTGTAATTTACATTGTTATTGACTTAAAAAATATGTCTATTTCATATAAGAAACACGAGTTCAAAAAATGACGTTACGAAATAAACATAATTACTAAACGTCTTTTTGAAATTTACAAATTAAAAATTCTTAACGAATAACACTTAAGATTCAAATAAACTTTGAATGAAAAATGTTTTATTTATTACCAATTTTGGAAATTTTGATGGTAGGAAGTTTATTGTGCAATTTTGGGATTGTTTTTTTGGATCTTCCTTTCTAGAGATCATCCTACCAGATCTTCGAAAATGACGACTCGCTGACCGGAAGAGACAGCATGAACTCACTAGGGAAGTATTCTTACGTCAGTGGGGTGTGGATAGGACCGGGACGTGAACCTAAACGTTCTGTGCCTGAGGCACCGCTCTATCGTCCACCGACCGTTCTCCAAATAAGAGAAACTCCCAGACCTTGCACCGCTGTGGTGAGTAGCTTCCTCCTTGACCCTGATAAACAAATGATTTCGCTTCCTGAACTCACAGGATGAGGATGACTCTCAGGAAACGGCTCGACCTACGTCCGAATTGACAAACTTGATTAATTATCCAACATCCATTATCGCTTTACCCACACATAAATGGAAAAAATGACCTCGGTGGGCCACGGGATCATTTTTTCGCAATTATCAAATTTAGGTCCCAAATAAGGTTTTTATAATAAATTTATACTGTATAAAGTAAATTAATTTGAGGGCGAAAAAAAAAAAAAAAAAACGTAGCGATGATTGATGAGGATGTTAATTTGAAGATAATTTACATTTACTTAACTTGGTTGCTCTAGTTTTGAGAAGAGTATGCAATGGTTTAATGGGAATTTGTAAGAGTAATAAGTGATAACGTTAAAAAATTAATAAATTTATCGCTAGATAAACATTTAATTAAACTATTTTTACTCTTAAACTTATCTTAAAACTCTAAATTATCCTACAGAGGGTCCGATTGAAAGACGACTGGAACATCGATCCCGAGAAGACATTCGGAACGAAACTGGAAGAAGAGTCATGATTTGCAGATAGACAGAAAGGATAAACTTTTAAAATGATCATCTGGCTCATGGTTATGGGAAAAGGTTAAAGTCTGACTACTTCAATAAACATAGTCCACCAGATGTGTTTATCTAAGTCTCTACCTTCTCGACTCGACTCGACTCAGACACAATTTAAGCCCATAACGATTTTCTACTATATTCTCTGTAAAATGGTGTTTAGTTAAGGCTCTCGTTTGACGAGTTTTATGATCTTTTATATGATGGGTACGATTTCTTTTACGCTTTTCCTCTGCGTAAACATATGTGCTGCTGTAAGTCGCTTCGATGTCTTCTATGTTACTTTCCACATATTTTCCATTATGTAAAAATGTTTTTTATATACAGTTATGCATTTAATATCTACAGATATGTAACTTATAAGAAATACAAGTACGGGCTTTAAACACCTTGTCATACTTGCAGGAAAGTTTCACTCTTGTTAAATTATGTAAAAATGTTAATCATTAAATAAATATTTATGTTTAAATATTTTTTACAATTATTTAAAAATATATCCGATATTAATTTAATGATTTTTAATCATATTTTCGAACAAATCGTTCAAATGATTAAAAAAAACAGAGATCAATATTCGATAAGAAGGTAAATGCTGCCATCTGTTAATAACATTTTGAAACAAATTTATTAAATGAATTAAAATTAAAATTGACTTATAACGTAATATTTGTAATTATAATATAAATACCGTTATAATATAAATTTAACTAATTTGATAAATATAAATATAAATTTTTCCTGAAGAATGTTGCTCGTTGTTGCCATCTAGTGACAATATCTTAATTAAATTCATGTTAAATAACGTGTTAAAAATAAAAATCATTAATGTTACCAAACAAAAATTAATCGTACAATTAATATAATTTGACATTTCTAAAATTTAACTAATAAAAATTGTTTAAAAAATTGTTAAATTTTAAAAGTTATTTTTTAAAATTATATAAATTTTAAATATTTATGTAAAAAGACAGTATACTGTTATTAAACTTCTTGTTTGTTATTTTATGTGGTTTGATATTCTTTTGGGGAAGATTTTCCTCTGCCTAAATGGACATTACCTTTAATAAATATATTTTTGAATTTTTTATAGTCACCTTTTCAAATCTATTACAAAAACTTTTTAAATAAAGCAATTTATAAAATATAAGATAAAGTATGATGTATAAAAAACAAAATTAGCAACTGTTTTACAACTGATCAAAGTTATTTTCAACAAACAAAATTTTTATTTAATATATTAATCATATTTAAAAAGCAATTCTATATGTATAAATTGCTAAGCATAAGAAAATTAAACATATATTTCTGAAAATAAAACTATTATATATATACAATTCTGTACNCTCTTCATACTGTACTGTACAGTACAGTATGTAGAGTAACACAATCCATGTAAATATTAATATAATAAACTAAGTAATAAAATAAAAAAAATGTTTGTTTTTAAAATTCTACCCTTTTAAAAGTCCTTTGCAAGGACTTAAAGCCAATAATCAATTACTTACACTAGGGACTCGACAAATCTTTTCTCATTGGTCATTTTTTTTTTCAAATTTAGAATGATTACGTGAATAAAAGAATGGCAAATTAACGAATAAGATTACGGCTTAAAATTTTTAAATGCTAGGCAAATGAAACCGATTAAAAATTAACGAATAAGATTAGAATTTCAAGTATAAAATAATCACGTGAATGAAAACGATTATAAATTAACCAATGAAATATTAAATTGAAAATTCTCACGTGAATGGAAGTGATTTTGAAAAACAATTAATACGAGATTATGCTGTAAAATTTAAAATAATAAATTATATTCTTGAGAATTAATTTAGATTATTATATTGTGTACATTCTTGTTTTTAAAAAATATTTTTAGATTGAAGACTTTTGCATATGAGTCATAAAGGGCTACATCATCATATTGATGATAAGAAAAACTGGTTTTTAAAGTTATATAAGGAAGAAAGAGGAACGGGAACAGAATTATTGTCCATGTTAAACGTTAATAAAGTAGTAGCGACGACGACGAGAATATGACAGATAATTAATGTTTCGAATCAGTTTAAAGTGCAGGAAAGCCTTATTCATCCATCTTTGGATGCGGAAAATGTAGTAAATATGATATTCTGCGTGTAATTCTCATCTGGAGAATTGAAATGAAGGAGAAGCTTCGGAGGATATCACGATCAATATGCCGAACTATGTGGTAGAAGGCTGCAGATTTTGCCCCGGAGAGTTAGTTGGAAGAGATAGGAAATGGAAGAAATATAATTATCTTAAGTAGGAGATACGTAGTAGTACATTATTCCAATAATAATAATCCCTTGTTGCAGGCTAGAAAACGTCAGAAATAAGTAAACAGGATAAGTTTAAAAATGACGTAGTGAATAGGTCCGATAACTCTTTTATGTACCACGTGTTCTCTCTTTTCGACACAGAAATTCCCTTCCCCGTCTTTACTCCCCCCGCATAAATTTGGTAGAAGGATGAAAGCCGTTGTGACAAATTGAAGTTTTAAAAAAAGTTATCTTTCAACTTTTTAGATATTCTGTTGCAAACTATTATTATTATCTGATGCTAGCAAGTGGCTGAATGTGATGGAATACATAAAGTGCATCATTTCGCAATTGAATTTTTTTATTTTACATTTTCTTAACGTCTGCCATATTTTTTTTTATCCACTCGTTTCTTCTCGTTGTTGGATGGGAAGTAAATTTGGCACGCGAATTTTTATTCCCTAATATGAAAGAAGCGAAGTCTCTCGTTCGTTATATCGAGTACGATTTCTGAGAATAAAGAGACGGTAGCCATAAGCAGTTTTCGTGTGAAAATGCACAAGAACTTTCTCGAGATTTTGCATTTTTAGTTGAAAGGTATATTAATAAGACGTGTGGGTAACTTGTGGGCATATTAGAGTGTGCCCCTGCACATAAAAATAAGCGTATGTATCGTATATATTTAAGCATAAAACACGTATCTGGACAATAAAAAACACGGGCCTTGCAGAAAAAATGGCGGAAGAGACGCGCATAAACCTGTACAAGATCTAGCAACTTTATCAAATTTAACTTATGGATCTCGAAAAATACTTATAAACGAATTTTTAAAATAAAAATAAATATTACAAACGTCAAATTTTCTTAGAAATTTAACATTTAAGATTACAATAATCTGGCGAAGTAATAAGTAAAATAGATATTTTTATTCGTGTTTTATGTTTTTAAATATATTTTGGTTCTGGAATTTTAAATTTTAAAAAGGACCAATTAAGACCGTGCACACGGGGAGTTTGTGTGTTTAACCCCTCCCATTTGGGAATAATTGGACGATATTGATAAAACAATATATTATATAACTTACATTATTTTTTACCCGTGTAGTCTCTTCTTAGTGTACCGTATTGTTTACTCTGTATACCTGTATATGTACAGTACTGTACAGTACAGTATGTAGAGTAACACAATCCATGTAAATATTAATATAATAAACTAAGTAATAAAATAAAAAAAATGTTTGTTTTTAAAATTCTACCNTATTATTTAAAATAAAAACAATATTAAAGTGTAAAATTCAATTACTGCGAATCGACAAATAATATTATTGGTTAGTTTGAATATTTAAACTAACCAATTAAGGATAGACAGTTACGAAATACATCACGTGGAACGCAGTGACCAATACGATTCGAAATAAAGTTTTTTTTTTTTTTTTTTAAACGAATAAATGTAGATTTCATCACGTGGTTGAGTCCAAAAAAAATTTGTAATTATTATTTTTAATTTAAAATTTCAATTAAATGAAGATAATTAATAATGAATTCATTTGAAGGAATTATTTTTTAATAAAAAAATTAAATATTTTTAATGGTTTATTATTAAATTGCGTGTTTCAATTAGTTTTTTTTCTGAAGTTCTTCGTAAGCAAATGCTTTGTTTTTGGTAGAGTTGGAGGAGGGAAAGAAAACGTAAACAGTTCTAGATATTTGAATTCGATAGAATTCCAATCTGGAATAGAATACAAAGAGTTCTCATATCGGAAATACCGAAGCAAGCTTTTGAAGTTTTTGCCTGAGGTAAGTTGACTCGATCTATTTTCAGCTTTATCCAACAATTTCATGTTCCAGTTTGCACGAAAACTCAATTTTTTATCTTTAGAAATAAATTAAACTTTGTAGCAAAAAAAAAATTTATTTATCGCTAGTTTAATCGCTAGATTTTCACGAGAAAATCTCTCTCTCTTCCTCGTTATCAATAAAGGTAGTGAAATGCAAGAGGTGCGAATTTCATAAAAATTCTTCCAGAATGGAGGCCAACAGCAAGATTAAACGAAGGAAAATTAATCAAAATTTTAATTTTACATTCAAAATTTTTGCTTTAAATCAGATTTAATTGAAAATCTTCACCCTGTAAACCCGTCTTACAGCGCGTTGGAGCGTGCAGACATAATTTTTATGATACGCAAAAGCTACAAATTTTATCTATTCGACAAAATAAAATATATATATAAGGAAGTAATATAAAGATTGCAAGAGTGGAAAAATATTACAAAATTAACAGAGCATAATTTTGTTGTAAAAATGTTTAAATTCTTTTGAAAACTTTCATGTAAAATATAAAAATTCTTAGCAAAAATTTCAACTAATATATCATGCAAGAAACATTTAAATAAAAAGAGGATATTTTCTTGATTAAATGTTACTAATGTTTAAAAATTTGCATATTTAGAATATTTTAAAATAAATTCTGTAAATTTAGATATTTAAAAAAATCTTCTAAACATTAATTATTCCAGATAAAAAGCATTTCAACGAAAGAAAAAAAGGTGTATTCCAATTAACTACACTGAAATCGGTAAATTAAAAATTAAAAATTTTCCATTTATCCATAAGAAAACACGTGATTGGTTGTTTTAAAATTTTAAAATTTAAATTAACCGATAAATATCCGAGGAAATTTATTTGTTACGTAACAATAGAGGAAAAAGAACAGATTTTTTACAACGGTAATTTAAATTTTTAAAAAAATTTGAATAGAAAATGACGTTACAAATAATAAATAAAGAATTAAATGTTAATAAAAACAAAAATTAATTTAATATTACGTAAAAGTTTTTTAAATATAAACAGAGTAAAAATTTTAAAATATTATTAATTAAAATATATTAGCTCATAGGTAAATACCATTTTTTACCTTTTATAAACCTTTTTTTTTAAACGATAAAACAAGAAAATAACAGAAAATTAAAAGGGCATTTAATAACTGAAAGAATGGGAAATTAGGAAAGAATGTATTATATTAAAATTAAAAATAAATATTATTAATAATAAAAAAATTTAAAATGTAATAAATTCCTAGTTTCTATTTAATCTGAGCTTCATCTTTCAAGAAAATCCAAGCAGAGCTTTGAAAGTTGGAAGAATGTGAAGACAGCCTAGTGACACAGCAACCCAAGGGAAATCATCGGATCCAAACTCAAGTAACAGGTTTACCTGCAGGCAACTTTGCTTCTCAAAACTGCCTCCTTATGTGCCCATTAAATACAAACTTTGTTTCTCAGATTGCTTTCCATTCAATTATTATTTTATTACTTTTTATGAGAAGAAATTTTCAAATAATTTACTTTACCACCGATCCCGTTCTTAAAAAGAAAAAAAAATTTAAATTTTTAGGTATTTAAGTTTGAAATCTCTAAATTTCATTGTTTTCACCTTAATTTTTTTTTTATAAAAGAATGAAAAAGTAAAAAAATTTAGGTGAAGAAAC